AATGTAAGAATAGTAATCCATTAATTGAATAAAATGCAAACCTAAGAGTCCATACTGACATAAATAAATGAAGAATTGATGAACTAAGTTTTTTTCCTTTTAGTAAAATACAAACTAATACATATAAAAGGGATAGAGAGAGAAAATTAGCACTTGGCAACTATTCTGGCTACCTAGTACCACTCTGACAAGAATATACCACAAATGGGATGGCCTTAACAAACAGGAGTTTATTCTCTCACAGTTTGGAGGCTTTAAGTCCAAGTTGAAAGTGCCTGGCTCTAGAGGCTGGGTGAAAGCCCCTCAGCCTTGGACTTCAGCTCTGCCTCCTGCTCCTAGCCCACTGAAGCTGGGGGCTTTTCTTCACTCAGACAGCTGCTGGCTGCTGAGACTGACAAGCCCAAGGTTGGCAAGTAAAAAGGCACAGTCCCAATGTCACCAACCACATGGCAGGCCATTAATTCAAGTCCATTGAAAGTCCCAAGGTCGGCAGAGCATGGCAGGCTGCTGAACAATGACACAGCTACATGCAGGGTTCAAGCATGCCATAAGCTAGAGACTGTTCCCCAAGGCTTCTCTTTATGTACAGGAAGCAGACCACATCCTTAAGGCAGCTACTCAGCCACTCACAGTAGATTCCACCATGGAGTTGATTACCAGTTTCATCATGGTGAAAACTACATGCAGATGCCCAGTCACTCAACCAGCCCCAGCCAAAGTTGACACACAAACTTAACTACCACAACAACTATCATAATTATGGCTGATTCAGTGAGGAACAAGGTTTAGTAATAATTTCAGAGTATCCTCCTTGACCATGCAAATTAATAACAAAGTGGAGCATGGTGACATGTCAATAGAGAAACCTGGCAGACAGCAACATGATTGAGTGATCAAAGGTAACATTATCCATAGTGGGTCAGGAAAATAGTAGATCTGATGAAACTGAAAAGACTTGATATGGTGGTGGTCAACTCAAGGAGCATGACTGCTTACCAGCCCCTCAGGATCCACCACTGCATTCTTGCAGAGATTATACTTCCCCTGGCTACTCTCAGACAATGACTGTGCTCAACTACTAACTGCTAGGTTCACAGTTTGAACCCACATAGCGACCCCTCCTTGGGTTTCTAAGGCGGTATCGCTATGGAAGTAGATTGCCCAATCTTTCTTCTGAGGAGTGACTGGTGGGTTTGAACCGCCAGCCTTCTGGTTAGCAGTCAAATTATGCCACCAGAGCTCCTAGTTAGGGATTAGCTGGGTGAAACAGTTGAGTAAAGAGGTGATGTTCCTGTAAGGTTAAAGTTTGAAATTAGTTCAAAGTAAATTATTAATTAAAAATTTCCCTAAATAGCAAAATAAAATTCCCTGAAGATTATAGAAGATTCACATACCTCATGGAATGGAAGATTTTGTTCTATAGATTTTCAGCACTGTGAGGGAAAACTCAAATGCTGTGTATAGAGACAAAGTAAGCCAAAGCGAGAGTTTTCTCAGAAGGTAGGAAAATAAGCTGTTTTATCTTCTTCCCTCCGCAAAGAACATGAGGTGATAGTTACTTTGTTTCAGAAGTGAGACTACAAAATATTCAAGGAACAAAATAAAACAAGAATCATCAGATTTCTGGGAATACGGTTACTCTTCTGAATGATGGCTATCAAGCAAAAGTCAAAAATAAAAGAGGGTAACCCTTTCCCTCATCCCAGAAATTCTATTTAGTTGAAACACTATGGTATATTAGGAGCTCTGGTAGCTAGTGCCTACGGCACTTGACTGCTAACCAGAAGGCTGGCAGTTCAAACCCACCAGCCACTCCTTGAAAGGAAGATAGGGCAATCTACTTCTGTAGTGATACTGCCTCGGAAACCCAAGGAGGGGTCGCTATGAGTCAGGTCCAACTCAATGGCACATAACAACAATAACTATGGTATATGACCTTTCTCATGCATATTTCAAGCATAAATGTGAGTACGCAAGCACACCAACATTTGGTGTTCCTTTAACTGTTAAGCATGTAAAAGATTTGCTAAATTTGACTTTTCATGAGCCCAGGAACACACCAAAGGAATAACTCATCTACTGCTAAAATGAATACCATCTAACCATAAAAATGCTCTCAAGCCTTGAGCAGATGACATTTGTAAAACCTAACCACGGTAAATGCAGCCTTTCACATTTTAAATCGAATCAACCCACACATATTCAAACCAGTTGTTGCCTTCTGCCTTTCAGCACCAAATCTGAAGTGACCATCGTTTTCTTGGACTTCACAAAAAACCTAGCTTTTCAAAAAGGTCACTTAATTCTATGAAGGCCTGCAGCAAAAGATAAAAGCTTTGCATTCACCATTCTTCCCATCTAATACAGGAAAGCTACAGGGGAGTAGCACTGACAGCAAGTATTGCTGCCTAGACAAAGATCTCACTCTGCTGCCTAGACAAAGATCTCACTCTGCATAGTTCCTGGACTCACCTCAACCCAATCAAGCCTCAGATCTTGTCTCCCTCACTCATATCCAAAAAGTAATCTTCCCCTACCTTGTCACTGTCTGGCCCTTGGAAGGAGTACATTACCATTAACAGAAAAGCCCACAGTCTTATACAAAGCAGCAAGAAAACGTAAGAAACATTTGATTTAGTACAAGTTTATAGCCACATGTGGTTAAAGAGCTCTTTTATAAATTACTCCTCCAGCTGTGGAGAGCCAGCAAAAGTTGTTCAATTCTCTAGAAATCAGAAAAACTTCAACAACATAATAGCTCTCATCTGTGAAAGAACAGAAATACCTGGTATCTAGTAGGTCCCATATAAATAAATGCTCATTTTCCTTCCCACTCTACTACTAATGCCATAATACCACACTCAGTAAGTTGCTGAACGTACATAATGAAAGGCAGCTACTAAGTGCTTATTAATATGATTAAATGTATTGACGTGGATCCTAAATTTTCTTATCACTTTGGATTCATAACAACACAACTTAAGCTAAACTATAATTGTCTTATATTTAAATACTTTCTGCATCTCTGTATCATAGGAAAAAAAGCACTAAGTTGTTGTGAGTTACAAGTTTTATAAACAAGTCTGTTTGAAAACTAAGGGTTTTTCACAATATATTGTCATTTCAACCTCCTGACTCTTGTTTCTAGATAGGACATAAAATGTATGATATCTAAAAGTATCTGGCTCATGCAAGTAGCCATCTAGAAGCAACAATGGGTCTTTCCTCATCCAGAGCAAAGAACGAAGAAAACCAAAGACACATGGAAATAATTATTCCCAGGGACTAGTAGACCATGTGAGCCTCAGCCTTTATGACCACAAGATCAAAAGATCTAGATGGTGCTCAGCTACCACTGTCAACCACTTGGAGGATGATTGGTGCAGAGATCCTGGATACAGTAGAAGGACAAGGTAAAACAAAACTCAAAGTCATTTTTTAAAAAAAATACCAGGTTTGCTGGTCTGAGAGCGCCTGGTGAGACCCCTGAGATTGTGGTCCCTAGTTACCCTTCAGGTCTCCAACTGAACTCACTCCTGTGGCTTCCAGCCAAATAACAGACAGGCATATGGGGTGAACATTTACATTAGGTAGATACACTCCTTGGAGCAATCAATTGGGGAAGAACAGAAGGGCTGTGTTTGCACAGGGAGATACCTTGGGTGGGGCAGAAGTGCATGGGAAGGAAAGGCACAAAGAAGAGGTAACTACCAGAGGAAGGGGGAAGAGAGCTGTTACATTGTAGGGAATTGCAGTCAATGTCATGAAACAAAATGAGTATGAACTGCTATGTGGAAAATGAATTTGCTCTGTAAACTTTCACCCAAATCACAACAAAAATTTAAAAAAAAAGCACAAAGGTATCTGGCCCATAAGGTATACTAGCTGTTCTTCTATTTCACAAATTAGAAAAGTTGAGGCTCAGGTAGTACAATTATATCCCCATAATCAGAAATCAGTAAATAATACAGCCAAGTCTCTTTGTACTAAAACACAAAGTTTACCCAAGAAAAACAAAATGACACATTAATTGTTCAGGTACAACTACATTAAAAAGTTAAACATATATTAAAACTTGAGGAGGGGCAGCCAGGTTCCAACAATTAGTCTCTATTTGCTTGGAGGACCAGAGAAAGGAGGGTCAGGAATCAGTAGTGGAAATGAAATATGTGTCCAATTACCTCCATGAACAACTGCCTCCTTTGCCATGAGACTCTAAGAACTGGATAGTACCCAGCTACCATTACCAAGGAGTCTATCAAAAGAAGGAAAATGAGGAATAAAATTTCAAACTTACATGGAGTTCAGACTTTCTGGACCCACTGAGGCCAGATGACCCCTTAGAACTATTGCCAAAGGAAATTTTCAAACCCTGAACTGAACCTATCCCCTGAAGTTGGCTTTGAACTAAAAAATAAGTTTAGCCTAATGAGAAAAATTGTCTACATTATGAATTAGTACTCTTCTAAATAATTATCGATATGTGATCACACTGACAAATAGTAACTCAAAAGGACAGATGAGAAACTTAGTGGGGTAGTAAGTTTCTGTTAATGATGGTGAAATAGTTTGGAAAAGGTTGGTAATAGGTTGGAGAAAGGTGGCACAACTTGAAAAATGTTAACCAATGCCACTGAATTGTACATATAGAAAGTGTTTTCACCACATACACACACACACACAAAACAAACAGGTTAAACATACATTTTTCACATGATTCAAACACTTCATTCCTACTTTAGCCAAAAGAAATAAAAGCATGTACTCTTGTGCATAAAAACTTGTCACAAATATTCATAGTGGCTTTATTTGTAATAGGCAAAACCTGTGAAATTATCAATGTTGTTGTTGTTGTTATGTACCGTCGAGTCGGACTCGACTCATAACAACCCCTCCTTGGGTTTCTGAGGCGGTATCACTACGGAAGTAGATTGCCCAACATTCCTTCCGAGGAGTAGCTGGTGGGTAGAGCTGTTTTAAAAGAAAGTTTGAAAACATACTTGATATCCTTTAATATTTCTTTCTCAACTGTTTTTCCACAAGGTAAAAAACCACTCTTCACTTTCACTTGGTAGCAAATGTTATGAAAACTTAACACAGCTCCTTCAGTATGTGTCTTTAGGTCACTGGAAGTTGTCCCAGGTGAGCCATTGGTGTTTTGTGACATTGGAATAAAAACATCATTGGAAGACATCTAGGGAGCAACTGCCTTTCTGTAGGAAATAAAAAAAAAAGCAACAGTAAGTTGATAGTCCAGATAATAATACTATAAACACTGCATAGCAATACATTTAAAACAAGTCCATTTTAAACTGCATTGCAATGAATAATTCCATTTCCAATGAACCACCCATATCACTGTGACTAAAATGGTCTTAGAACATATATAGAGATGCAGGTTATTTTGAGTAAATGAACTCCAATTAAGGAGCTTTGATGCTATAGTGGCTAAGGCATTTGGCTGCTACCCAAAAGGTCAGTGGGTTGAACCCACAAAACACTCTATGGAAGAAGGATGAGGAGTCTGCTTCCTTAAAGAATTATAGGCTTGGAGTTCAGGTAAGATGGCAGAATAGTCAGAAAGACTACACAGACCCTCTTCAACAAAGAAAAGGGGAAGCAATTAACACAGACACAAAAGATAAACCTGGACCCCTGAGCCTTGAAGGGAAGGATATATAAGTGGACTAAATCCTAACTAGCAGAAGAATGTGCATGAAAATACCAAAAAAGGACACATATGGAGCTGCGGTCTGGGAACGATCCTGAGCAATCCTGATGGCACAGAAGCTTGGAGATTGTCGAGTGGTGGAAGGACCTAAGAATTAACCTAAAAATCAGCCCTGCTAGCCAGGGACTGCACGTAGGACTGCTCTGGTGGCTGGGGAAATAAAAGGCGAAGCAGCAGCAAAGAGGAAGGGGGGCTGAACTGTGGACTTTTGCCTGTCCAGAGGGTGCAGCCATTTTGAATGTTTACAAGCAGCTTGACCATTTTGGATATTTAAGGAGACAGTGTTCTCCCAGATTCCAGGGGCTTAAGAACAGGTTCTGCTTGCCAGTAACCCCAAGGACACTCCAGACCTAGATGACTGAAAAGGTACAACATTGCCCTTGTTACTCTTATACGCTCACCCACTTGGTGAAGAGAGGTGCAGCCATCCCCACCTCCAACCCAGCTTCTGGACCCACAGGAACTCCATCCCAGTCTGTGTACTCGGAAAGAACCGGGCCCTGCTCTGCCCTCCCCTGATTTTTTCTTTTTATTTATTTATTTTTCCTCTTTCTTTTTTCTAGTTTTTAGTTTGCTTCTT